CAAAATGTTGCATCCAGGGAAAGTAATTCTATAATTAAATGGGCTGTTTAAGTTAATTACAATATAATAAAAGCAATGCCTAGTGGCCTTGTTACAGTGGTGTACGGCCATATTTCACAGTCACGCTGTCTGCATGTTCCTAAACCAGGCTGAGGAGACGGTAATTAAGACTGGCACGCAGACGATAATTCACCTAAACAATCCTGCTGAAAGGCACCTCGTCAGACATTTTCACGAAAACTGCCTCGCAGATTTCACCAGACAATAAAGCTACGTTCGACTTAACCAAAATTTTAAATGCGCTCATACAGTCCACAAAGTGAGCTGTTTCCGAGTTCAGCCCTTTGCTTAAGGGTATAAGTACAGCACTGGTCGCGCAGGAAGCTCGCAGTGAGCTCACGTCTGATCCGTCGCACTAACAGGCAAGAAAATGATGCAGGAAACTGTGAAGTCCTTTCTCACACCTTGGCTCCGAGCTGTGGCAGGCAGGCAGTGGCAGGTGGCTGGAGCCGACAGACTCACCTCCTGACACCAGGATAGACGCACCAGAATATTGTGAGTTCGATTATGTAATCAGCCGCTTAGTGCATTGTGACGAGAAGGGCGCTTGTGAATGTGCTCGTGTAAGGCTTCTCCAGTTTGCCATTTAAACGCTCGCAAATATCAATACATCCGTAATCACATATTCAAGTTCACAGTGGTTTCCTATATGGTGAAATATATATCCTATACATACAGTATGTGTGTGTGCGTGTGTGTGTTGTATATATATATGTGTGTGTGTGTTGTTTATGTGTGTTTGTGTGTGCATGTGTGTGTGTGTGTGTGTGTATTACAGAGTGGTTCAGAGCTGCCTTTCTGCACACCAGTATTGTACTTACTGAGCTGTTATTTTGACAGACATGGTCTCCCTGTTAACTCTAACAAATCTGGCCATTCTCCTCTGGCCTCTCTCATTAGCAAGGTGCAAACTGCCTCTGACTGGATGTTTTTTTTTGTTGTTTGTTTTGTTTATTGCACCATTCTCTGTAAACTCCAGTCACTACGGCGTGTGAAAATCCCAGGAGGGCGGCTATTTCTGAGATGCTGGAACCACCATGTCTGGCACCAAATACGATGCCACGTTTAAAAATTGCCTCTTAGCCATTCTAATTTTTAGCCTTACAGGAACTGAACCTCTTGACTGTGTGCTGTATGTATTCAGGCGCAGCCACATGATTGGCTGTTTGTTGGAGCAGGCTGTTTGCATTGACGGGCGGGTGTATCTAATAAAGTTGTCACCGGGTGTTTCGGTGTTGGTTGTGCTGTGGTATCAAGCCTCCTGATGTGGCGGATCTTAATCTGTCACAGATTAGGAGTGCCATGGCACCTTGAGAGCTGTGCAGCACCCTGCCAGGTGTTCTGGAGAGGTTCTGTGCCTCTCAGCGCATGTTCTGGCCCACAGCCGCGTGCCTGTCAGCCAACCGGCTGACCCGCGAGTACAGCCAGGTCCATGCTGTCCCACTCATTCTGCTCAAGTAACAGGCCCAAGTTCAGGTAACTGATTTCAGCACGTGACCCGCGTTTGGCGTTGCCCATGTGATGTGGGCCTGCCTGACACAGAGCGATGAAAAGTCCACAGACATAGGATTCATTCACTTTCAAAGCCGACACATTTGTCCAAATAAGCTTACAGTGCTCACCAATTTATACAGATGATCCTCACTTTATTATGGTTTGATGCACATTCAGTAGTCAGCTTTGAATACGGATCTGTTCCCGGCTAGTGATGCAGCACAGTATCCCCATCGCTGCATTGAGGCATTGGGGTCTACACAGACCACAGGATGGGCTACACCAACACCTCTTCCAGCAGCAACCCAGCTTTCCTAGTTGGTCTCCCACGCAAGTACTGGCCAGGCCCAAACCTGCGGAGCTTCAGGTGGATCACCGAGCCTGAACTGCAGGTGGTACAGTTACAGTTAGGCTTACATTTATGACATTGATGTTGGCAACAGAAACATTCTATAAAGGCTTCACTATACATAGTTCATTAATAATTCCTAAAAATGTTTGAATGGTTTTTTTAAAAAAATGACATGACGTGCTGGCGAAGTTCATATTTAAGTTGGGCAACACGTGATTGGAGGAACCAAAGGCATTTCTAATTCGCCTACCCGAAGTGAGATAATCTGGATGCAGTGTCCACCTTTGCCACGCGCCCGGCTTTGTCAAAAAGGAAAGCAGCACCTTCATGCATAGTTAATTCGGACCTATGTGACTGAACTGCAAACAAACAATTACAGGCGCCTTAGCCGCGACCACTGAATCAAGTTTTTTTGCTCTTGGGTTGTCATGGAAACAAGGATGTCGGGTGGCAACAGATTCCCAGACCTTTTTCATCTACTCGATCTGAAGGTGTGCCTCGCTTTGTGAACTGGTGCATGTGTGCGATAGTAATACGCGGCAGTGGCACCGCGGTACTCCGGGGAAGGCATCAGGAGCAGCTTTCTCTGGCCAGACCCACCTGAGCTGTGTGGGAGATGGATGGGAGTGAATGTGCTAAATGCCGGATTCCACAGATCAGTCTGAAAACAACTGCCAGCTGCCATCAATTCCGACCCCAACTGGCCTGCCCGCAGTTAACTATCTGACACTAAATCATCGCCATCCTTTCATATTCACAACTCCCAAGCCGCTTGTCAGCCCCACGCACTCGGAGAACGGGGCACTGTTAAGCAGAACAACTTCCAGATATTAACAGAAAAAATACTCCTGCAGGGAATGCTGGGAGAATGGAGGTCAGGAACTATCTGGTAGCTAGCAGCCCCAGGAGGGGGCCCGATATACAGTAGTACCCTCGAGTAAAGTGCTTAACCTGGGTGGCTCCGGTAAAACACAGGACTGCAAAAATAGATACAAGTGGAAACATCTGCGGGTGTAAGAACGGGATTCTTCAGCATCCTGCACGGAGAGCCGCAGCCTTTCCGTCCTGCCCTGGCACTCCTCCTCACGAGAGCCAACCCTCCTCACACCCACGGGCAGCTGGGGCACACTGAGCCGGAATCTAGGTCTGGCATCCCTCGTCGCGAAGGAGTCGCGTCTCCAGGGGATCTCCGGGGAGCTCCGATGCTAAACAGTGTGCTCCGAAAGCTGCTCGGAGCGTACGGATTTGCGATTAGGATGCTGGCGGTCCTCTGTGTGCCGGCACTCTGCACTTTCCATGTTCATTTTTAGGGGGGCACTGAAATGAGGGGCAACAGAGGAGGGCTTGTTAAAATGTGGGACCTGAGAGGTATCTCTGGGAAGATTCGGAATGCCGGGAATGTCGCCAGTCTGCAGGCACTGTTAATGTTGTCATATGGATCATGCCGCTGCATTAAAACTCTTCATCAATACCACACAATGCTAGACTGTACTGCATAATACTAAGCAGTACTCTGTTGTCTAAAATCAGTGTTCATTCCTTCTTCGTTTTTGTCTTCATACATATTAATGAACTAGGGAGAAAATGATAAATATCAAACAGTTCCTGATTCTTGACCAACAGTTTATCTATAAATAAAGGGTTTTGACACCATTTTCTAGTCATTCGTTTCCCTCGAGGGAGTGATCTGCAGGCGATTAATCGGAATATTTATGTGGATGTCCTGCAAGTATTTACAGTGCTGCTGATCTCGGCGGGTCGGAGGAGAAGAAGCCGCAGTAGGTTTTGTCCTGTGGGCCATCAGAAGTACAGGCAGCTCACCACAGCTCTGTGCCACCACAATCCCGGCAATACTGAACCCCGACTTCCCGCGCTGCATTTCAAAACCATACACGTTGATGGAAATGCCAGCTGTGGAGGTGTCTGTGTGCGCTAGAGAGCCAAAATCTGATGCCGGGCCCTGGAGCACGTCTCGGAGACATCCATTCATTTTTTTCAGCACAATATGCTCAGAGCAACAAAAACTGAGATAAATGAGAGGAACTGTTTGGGAAGATGTCAGCGGTAAAGCTGGCGATTTATCATTCACAAAAAACGTATGAATATATTTTTATAAACCAATTTAAGAATGCACACCGTGCTGAGATAATTTGCTCATAGAATTTGACAAGAAAATAAAGTATGAAAATAAGCTGTGTGAAGAGCTTCAGGGTCTGAAAAGTCTGCCTTGCCCTCACAAAAATAGAATCATCTTCAGACTATACAGGCTTTTTCAGTTTGACTATTCAATCAAGCCACTGATAGCACCCAATACAATTTTTTGCACTTGAAAATCTGGTTTCATAGTGACAGTGACAATGTCTAGTAATTGCTGATGCAATTATATGCTGCATTATATGTGTTCAATGCACCTCGCAAAAAAGTGCAGTGCAGCCGTGCATTCTGACTAGAAGACTGATGACAAGATAACTATGATGTTTCCACCCCCTCCTAATCACATTTTGCAAGCATCGATTTTGAAATTCACTAAACAAACACAATGTGATCTAGTTAAATGGCCTTTGGCATCTCATCCTAGAAAAGGCAGATTCAAATGCACTTTCAGCTAGCGTCAACTCAATTCCTGCCCTTTTTTCTTAAATGGACCCCCCCCCCCCACCTCCAAAAGGATCATAGCCGGAATTGGCTTTGTTTTGCCGAGTGCTTTCCGTCAACAAGGAGCTGGCATGTTTTGTGCCAAGGCGCACGGAGGCGCGGATATGTCTGACAGGATACGGGGTTTACATGCCGCGAAGATGAAGAACGTGCGAGACCCAGTGCAGATTCCACGGCATAATCAGAAGCCTCAGCTCAGTCGCGAAATGCCGCTTTGAAAATTGATTGGAGGGGCGCCTTCGGCTAATCGCGCACTCCACTGGATTTTCAAGAAAGTTTCCGGCGGCATTAAAAACAGACACACCACCTGAATAAAACAGACATCAACAAACAAATGGACTGGAAGCGATGCACGGAAAGCACCACGCACACGTGCGGGTTGTACGGATTCGCCCGCGCGCAATTCGGTCTCCCTTCCGCAGCCACACCGGCGCCTCACCTGCCGATGAGCAGGAACTCTCCCGCCACGCCCAGGCGCCGCATGGCCATCAGCAGGCCACGGACCGTCATGCCCTCGCAGAAGCAGACGACCACGCGCGCCTTGGGCAGTCGCTCCCGCAGCTTCCGTAGAAGCCGGTCGAAGTGCTTCTCCCCGGCGTTGCTGTAGATCTTGTCCGAGTGGGCGATGCACAGGCCCTCCTGGGAGGCCATCTCCTTAAATGCCTCCATCCCGCTCTCCCCGTAGTTGCCTGGGTGAAGCGCAGAAACATTCAGCGGAATTATTATCTTTAAACAGGAAAGCCATGTGGAAATTAAAAGCAAAATGTCTCTCTGTCCAGTGTCAAATATTTATGTTTTTTGTGCTTTGGCAGTTACCTCTAAAAATGTCAATTATGCCTTTGGAGTTTAATTGAGGGGTTTGCATATTCTCCCTGTGTACTGTATGTTTGATCTCCTGTTATACTGCTTTCTCTACTAAGTTCAAAGGCAAGGCACTGGGTACATTGGTGCCTCTAAATTATGTGTGTGTGCACTCTAGGACAGACCAGCACCCTGTCTATGGCATACCCCCGCCTTGTGCCCCATTTGGCCTGGGACAGACCACAGCCCCCACCCCGCCCACCCCACCCGACCCTCTAGATACGTGGTTAGATGATGGATGGATTGAGTGAACTGTACACTGTTTTTTCAAGCCATCTTTGTTGAAACACAGAAATGGTGTTTTCCATATGTAGTACATTCATGATTTAGAAATTGTAGTCATCGATTTCGATTTCCAAACAAGAATATGTATGACATCTTACAGAAACAGCTGAAATCGCCTCATTAGAATATTCTGCAGAAGAACATTGTCAAAGCGTTCTGGATACGTTCAACGACCTGGCTGTGACATCTTCCTGTGCCTTTTAAAGTGGATAATAACAAGATTGATTCTAATGGTTTAATGCCGCAATTCATGTTTCCCTTTTTACAAAACTAGGAGCATTTGCAGGAATTTACTTGAGACTTTACTCACAACGTATCATTCCAAACATCATAAATTGGCGGAGTGTCAGAGAAACCTTTCCTGCTTCCAGACGTCGGAAAGCGGCTCGGATGCTCTGAGACGTTTGGATGCATTTTGCCCGCGAACCTTCCGGCGGCGCGTCGTCCCCTCAAAATATCAAGCCCCTTTTCCCGACCGAGCACTTGTCAGCGGAAGCTGCACCAGAGACGGCCTGTCACATCCCTGACTCTGACGGCTGAGTGACAGGACCCGTGAGGACATCAGTGGCAGTTGTGACCGCTGGTGGGCCTTCCCTTATCTCCACATCGAAAGTGCGAGGAGCTGAGTACCACCGCTGCTCACAAGCTGAAGGCACAATGACGGTAAACCGGTGGCGGTGAAGCGATAACCTACAGTGATAAAAAATTTAATAATAATTCAACCAATACTACGCCATTACGAGCATTTCTGCTACAACCTTCTGTATAAGGCCTACAGATATTTAAATTTTTGTTAAATATGTCAAGGTGTTTCTTCTGGTGCAGACATTTGGCTCACTATCATTGCACTGTGGTTTTGTGTGTGTGTGGGGGGGGTGCACTCGCTTTGATTTCTGTGCAGTCTGAATATTTGTACAGTTACAACTTTTGAATCGCACTCAGCTTTCTGTCTCAAACAGTGAAATTACACTGTTGTGCACTCTCTCCCTTTTTCGTGTGTGTGCTACATTGAAATGTAAATATATTTAAATATTCACCTTTACAGAAGGTAAACAGAAGGAAAGCCGCTTTACTGTGACTTACCGCTTTACCCATTCGTGGAACTGGACGTTTTACAAAGTTCCGCTAGCTGATGGGCTCACACAGTACTATTCATTTGTATGCCCCATTTTATGTAACACTGTCAAATGAAATCAAATGCGTTTTCGGGCATATAAGAGCTCCTCTTTCATGTGGCATCTTACTGGTGATGTACTGTGCGTGTTTGCCCTGATAAGTAGAGCCCAGTTCATTAGCAGAAGTCCTAGCATTTGTCTTAATGTTCTCAGGTGATTTTATTCAATTTAGACGGCTTACATGGTTGCTATGAGCAACTGGCACAAGACCCATCTCTAAGTGTCTGGGCTGAAAGTGTGCTCTGCAATTTTATCACAACGCTATTCAGAGACATTCAGACTCTGCAGTAAATGTCAGTATCGCTGTTACAGTTATTCATATTATAATAGCTGCAAGATAATGTTAACAGACGTGCGAAGACGGAAAGGCAGGTGAAGAAAACTCTCAAATAGCAAATAGTGAGCTCTTGTCTTTGCCACTGCTGAAACCTGGACCCTCTGAGATCAAGGTCGTGGTAAATTGGTGCCTGTGACTGGTTTCTAAATCCCAGCATCGCTC